CCCCTGGAAAAGTCCCAATTCCGAAACACTGATTCCATGCAGAATTTATTTTTGGAAGCAAGTGTATAAATCAAGTTGCTCTTTTGCACTGCTGAAAGGCGTTTGCACATTCTCAAAGCTCGTGCTGCCTTCCAGAGTTTGGCGCTGGTCACACGGGCGCCTTGACACGCTGTTCTTATATAAAAATCGTAGCGCGTTTCCTATCCCCCTGCCGAGCTTGGAAAACAAAATTGTCCCGGAAGCTGATCTCTTCCAGAGAGAGAGCTATTCCCATTCAAATCTATGCCGAGCGCCGTCGGTTAGCAATAGGAACTTTGCTAAAAAGAAAAAGTCTAAAATGAAAACATTTTTTTATAAGCATGCCATGATGAGGGTTGTAGTGTGTGATAGCGTTAATGGGACCCAGCAGAAGGATATCCCTGGAAATCATTATAACATGTTGCCAATTGTTATCTTTCTTCCCCCCCTGGAGCATATCCCGGCTCGCTGCGCTCTACCATTACCTTGGGCATGTGAAGTGGAACAAGTGGCAGCTTGCGGAATTAAAAAAAAAAAAAAGAAAAAGATAAAGAAGTCAGCCAGGGTTATGGCAGCCGGGTCTACTCACCACCACAGTCCTATGATGTTGGCTGGACACAGGAGGATGAAGAAGAGTCCCAGCTGAGTCCTGGAAAGTGGCATCATGATTTCCTCCTGGCAAGGTGGGTGCAGACAGATGAGCACACAAGTATCCTGGTTCTGCTTCTTCTTCTTCACTACAACCAAGTCAGGCAGCCAAGAACACACAAGGAGCTAGGTCAACAAGTAGAAAACTCCTCGGAGCGCAGGCGGTGGGCATTGACTGTCCTGCAGACTGGCAGTGCAGAAAGGGGAGCCCGTTTGGGAGGAACAGAGAAGGGTCTGGGGTGGAGAGGAGGAGGTATAGAGAGGCAAGGAGCAGGGAGGAGGGAGAGGAAGAGATAGAGGGAGGTGATTTTACGGTCCTATTTGAAGTCGGATTGGCCGGATGGATTTTTTCGTAAGCTTTGCACGATTGAAGCAGCACACACAATGAAAGAGAAAGATTGATATTGGTGTCAATGGGTGGTGTCAAATACGATAGCAGCAAACCATTGCCGCTATCGGCCCCCGGGTCAAGGTGGCTGTAGGTTTGGAGCATGTGCTGTGCTTTTATTGCACATCTTTCAGCACGCTGGACGTTCCCCCAAACCTTGCACTTGGTTTTGGTTAAATATCTAAACCAAGGAGAATCAAATTAATATTTTGTAGTTTACCGGTCTTTAAATGTAGCTGCTGCATTCGTTTCCCTTTTTTCTGCATGTACAGAACAATACCTGTTGATCCTGCCAGAAATCCTATGTGCTTGTAACTTCCTGCGTGCTGAACTGAAATCTTAAACAATGGTTTAAAATAAAAGAGACAAACCAGTGCAGCTTATTGGTGATAAGCAGGTATCAGTGATGTCCATAGTTGACCCGGGTAACAGCTGAGCCCATCTGTCTGCTTCTTTACCTTTCACTGTCCAATCACAGACTGGGGAGAGGGACTAGACCTGTAAGTGTTACTGAACTGCAGCAGAAGACTTGCTGGTCGCTTAGCTGGCTCCTGTCCAAATCAGCCCTAGTATGTGAAATAGGGACATTAGATTGTAAGCTCCTGGGGGGACAGGGACTGACGTTTTCGATACGTGAATATCTTTTACATTTCAGTTTTAACGCACGACCGTCTCTGCCGCCAGTCACAATGCCGCCTCACCTTGCACCGAAGCATGCCATAAAATCTAACTCCAGACTGGTCAGGTGACCACATAGGCCCCGGCATCAATCGCCTGCGCCCGTTTCCCTATGCGGGCAGGTCAGGGGGGTACGGCGCAGGTGTGCCAGTGACTCACTCCGCCCCCGCACACCTTGGCTCCTTAGTCACTCTTCCAGTAATTTGACCCCCTGACAGCAAGCAAGCATGGCGGCCGGTCCAATCATGAACCACACGCATGTCAGAGGTAGCCAGATGCCTCTCTCCTTCCATCATCCACTCCCTCTGGGCCCAAATTTCTGCTGTCATTCAAAAGGCTGCTGAAGAATGTACGAGGAGCTTGGCAGTGTCCTAGGCTGAAGGTGTGGAGGGGGGAGGGGGGGGAGGCTGAAAGGGAAGTGAAATTATTTGGGAATGTATCACTATAGGGAATATATCGTTGTCTGTTCATCCTTTATTGTGAGTCTTATTCACTGTCAGAATTCAGAATTAAACTCTGGAATGTATACTGTACATGGAACACTCCCACTTACCGGGAACACCCCCACTTACCGGGAACACTCCCACTTACCGGGAACACCCCCACTTACCGGGAACACCCCCACTTACCGGGAACACTCCCACTTACCGGCAACACCCCCACTTACCGGGAACACCCCCACTTACCGGGAACACCCCCACTTACCGGGAACACTCCCACTTACCGGCAACACCCCCACTTACCGGGAACACCCCCACTTACCGGGAACACCCCCACTTACCGGGAACACTCCCACTTACCGGCAACACCCCCACTTACCGGGAACACCCCCACTTTCCGGGAACACTCCCACTTACTGGCAACACCCCCACTTACCGGGAACACCCCCACTTACCGGGAACACCCCCACTTACCGGGAACACTCCCACTTACCGGCAACACTCCCACTTACCGGCAACACTCCCACTTACCTGGAACACTCCCACTTACAGGCAACACTCCCACTTACCGGGAACACCCCCACTTACCGGGAACACCCCCACTTACATGGAACACTCCCACTTACATGGAACACTCCCACTTACATGGAACACTCCCACTTACCTGGAACACCCCCACTTACCTGGAACACTCCCACTTACCTGGGACACCCCCACTTACCGGGAACACTCCCACTGACCGGGAACACTCCCACTTACCTGGAACACCCCCACTTACCTGGAACACTCCCACTTACCTGGGACACCCCCACTTACCGGGAACACTCCCACTGACCGGGAACACTCCCACTTACCTGGAACACCCCCACTTACCTGGAACACTCCCACTTACCTGGGACACCCCCACTTACCGGGAACACTCCCACTGACCGGGAACACTCCCACTTACCTGGAACACCCCCACTTACCTGGAACACTCCCACTTACCTGGGACACCCCCACTTACCGGGAACACTCCCACTGACCGGGAACACTCCCACTTACCTGGAACACCCCCACTTACCTGGAACACTCCCACTTACCTGGGACACCCCCACTTACCGGGAACACTCCCACTGACCGGGAACACTCCCACTTACCTGGAACACCCCCACTTACCTGGAACACTCCCACTTACCTGGGACACCCCCACTTACCGGGAACACTCCCACTGACCGGGAACACTCCCACTTACCTGGAACACCCCCACTTACCTGGAACACTCCCACTTACCTGGGACACCCCCACTTACCGGGAACACTCCCACTGACCGGGAACACTCCCACTTACCTGGAACACCCCCACTTACCTGGAACACTCCCACTTACCTGGGACACCCCCACTTACCGGGAACACTCCCACTGACCGGGAACACTCCCACTTACCTGGAACACCCCCACTTACCTGGAACACTCCCACTTACCTGGGACACCCCCACTTACCGGGAACACTCCCACTGACCGGGAACACTCCCACTTACCTGGAACACCCCCACTTACCTGGAACACTCCCACTTACCTGGGACACCCCCACTTACCGGGAACACTCCCACTGACCGGGAACACTCCCACTTACCTGGAACACCCCCACTTACCTGGAACACTCCCACTTACCTGGGACACCCCCACTTACCGGGAACACTCCCACTGACCGGGAACACTCCCACTTACCTGGAACACCCCCACTTACCTGGAACACTCCCACTTACCTGGGACACCCCCACTTACCGGGAACACTCCCACTGACCGGGAACACTCCCACTTACCTGGAACACCCCCACTTACCTGGAACACTCCCACTTACCTGGGACACCCCCACTTACCGGGAACACTCCCACTGACCGGGAACACTCCCACTTACCTGGAACACCCCCACTTACCTGGAACACTCCCACTTACCTGGGACACCCCCACTTACCGGGAACACTCCCACTGACCGGGAACACTCCCACTTACCTGGAACACCCCCACTTACCTGGAACACTCCCACTTACCTGGGACACCCCCACTTACCGGGAACACTCCCACTGACCGGGAACACTCCCACTTACCTGGAACACCCCCACTTACCTGGAACACTCCCACTTACCTGGGACACCCCCACTTACCGGGAACACTCCCACTGACCGGGAACACTCCCACTTACCTGGAACACCCCCACTTACCTGGAACACTCCCACTTACCTGGGACACCCCCACTTACCGGGAACACTCCCACTGACCGGGAACACTCCCACTTACCTGGAACACCCCCACTTACCTGGAACACTCCCACTTACCTGGGACACCCCCACTTACCGGGAACACTCCCACTGACCGGGAACACTCCCACTTACCTGGAACACCCCCACTTACCTGGAACACTCCCACTTACCTGGGACACCCCCACTTACCGGGAACACTCCCACTGACCGGGAACACTCCCACTTACCTGGAACACCCCCACTTACCTGGAACACTCCCACTTACCTGGGACACCCCCACTTACCGGGAACACTCCCACTGACCGGGAACACTCCCACTTACCTGGAACACCCCCACTTACCTGGAACACTCCCACTTACCTGGGACACCCCCACTTACCGGGAACACTCCCACTGACCGGGAACACTCCCACTTACCTGGAACACCCCCACTTACCTGGAACACTCCCACTTACCTGGAACACTCCCACTTACCGAGAACACCCCCACTTACCGAGAACACTCCCACTTACATGGAACACTCCCAGTTACCTGGAACACCCCCACTTACCTGGAACACTCCCACTTACCTGGGACACCCCCACTTACCGGGAACACTCCCACTGACCGGGAACACTCCCACTTACCTGGAACACCCCCACTTACCTGGAACACCCCCACTTACCTGGAACACCCCCACTTACCTGGAACACCCCCACTTACCTGGAACACCCCCACTTACCTGGAACACCCCCACTTACCTGGAACACCCCCACTTACCTGGAACACCCCCACTTACCTGGAACACCCCCACTTACCTGGAACACCCCCACTTACCTGGAACACCCCCACTTACCTGGAACACCCCCACTTACCTGGAACACCCCCACTTACCTGGAACACCCCCACTTACCTGGAACACCCCCACTTACCTGGAACACCCCCACTTACCTGGAACACCCCCACTTACCTGGAACACCCCCACTTACCTGGAACACCCCCACTTACCTGGAACACCCCCACTTACCTGGAACACCCCCACTTACCTGGAACACCCCCACTTACCTGGAACACCCCCACTTACCTGGAACACCCCCACTTACCTGGAACACCCCCACTTACCTGGAACACCCCCACTTACCTGGAACACCCCCACTTACCTGGAACACCCCCACTTACCTGGAACACCCCCACTTACCTGGAACACCCCCACTTACCTGGAACACCCCCACTTACCTGGAACACCCCCACTTACCTGGAACACCCCCACTTACCTGGAACACCCCCACTTACCTGGAACACCCCCACTTACCTGGAACACCCCCACTTACCTGGAACACCCCCACTTACCTGGAACACCCCCACTTACCTGGAACACCCCCACTTACCTGGAACACCCCCACTTACCTGGAACACCCCCACTTAC